AGCCATTACTTATAGCAATAATTCCCCATTATTGCAAGTAAAAAAAAAAAAAGGAAAAAAAAATGAAAGAAAAAATGAAGAATACAATTATTTCTTCAAAGTTTTATTTTATATTTTTATTTGGAATACAATTATTTCATAGCACCAATATCTCTCAAGAGCAATTGGAGGTACATCTTTTTCAACACTTGCTTTATACAAGCAATGTTTAACAACTTTTGGAATGATTGGGATCATTCATGGCCACCATGCCTCACTCCCACCAAAAAATGCTCTTTGTGCTCCACTATGCCCCATTGCATTTAGCTTTGAGATTCTTCAATAAGTAAAATTTTCATTGGAGTTTATTTTTATTATAATACTAATAATAATAATAATAATAATTATTATTATTATATTCATAATTTTATTTTTTGGTGCTTCTAGTGCTAAAAAAAAACCAAATTAAATGCTTTTTGTTTGTGGTAAAAAAATTCTCTATGGTTTATTTAAATGTTTTTTTTTTACATAATTATTATTTTTGGAGAATTTACATAAATGCTACTCAATTCTTATGTATTTACATGAATAAACATATAATTTTTTTTTTTTTACATTTATCTTCAAGTATGTATGAAAGATATATTTAGCTTTATAAAAGTAGGATTTAATAAATTTGAAAATAGTACAAATTGTTTAGTATGCATGTAAATGTCCCTCTTAACTTATTTTTTATATACTTTTTAACAAAGAAAATATTAGAGCAAACCAATTAAAATAAATTCTAAAAAATATATATAATACTTTCATCTTATGTTCACCACTCCATTCCATGTCATTTTTAGAAAAAAATATAGATATGTTTAGATGATATTTTAATTTACTATATCATATGCATCATACATAATAATAAAAAATAATAATAAAAAAAAGGCTATAGTTGGTTTTAATATGTATTGGTTTATTCAAATTTAATACCAGATTTTTAAGTCTTTTCCAGTGTTTTTAAACACTCTAATTTTCTTAAGAATTTTTTTTTAAAAGAAGTCATTTGCATGATTGACATCTAATTCCTATGAATTTACATATCTATCAGCTAAAGTTGACTTTTTACACTTTTATCAGCTAGATTTTGTATTTTGCATAAATAAAAATATTACTCGTGCAGGTGAAAAGCATGTATGCATAATAGTTTAGGCGTCATACAAGAACACATATTTTGTTAGGAGAATCTTTCGGAGTCCAATGATAACAGAAAAAAAAATAAAAATTGACCTGATAACACGGAAATATTTCCCTTAAATTATTCTGTATTATTCAAGTGTTATTGTATTCTGAAAATATTATTGCTATTATAATAACAAAATAACACTTGAATAACACATAATAATACCTAAAAAACACGAGAGAAATATTTTCTTATATTATCGAACAGATTTTATTTTATTTTATTTTATTGATATTATTTCATTAGACTTCGAATGATTCTCAACGTTATGAGTCCTAACAATCATTTTTTTGTCATACAAATACATACACAGTAAAAGTCTCATTGTGTCCGAAATAGACAATATATTTATAAAAAAAAACTTTTAATACTTTTTCAAATATAATTTAAAAAAATTAATAATTTTACACCTCATTTTGTTATGCTCGATAATTAAAAATAATAAACATTTAATAATTTTACCCACTTTAAAAAAAAAAAAAAAGATAGCAAGTGTTGTTGTATTTACATCTCACCCAAACTTTCATATTTACACAAATATCATGCAAAACTTTAATATCACATAAAATAACTCAAAAGTGAAATACATATTTTCATGCACAGGAATAAGAACACCAAAATAACATTCATGTAAATATGAATTGTTTGGTGTCTAGATGTGTAAAAAGATAAAAAAAAGGTAAGCTATTTATGAAAAAATTTCCCCAAAAATATAAAAATTAAACCCCAAATTGGATTATTTTCTAGGTAAAAGTGAAAGTGAAAGCTAAATATTTTTAGTGGTGACGTTAATGCAGTGAGTTATGTCGAGAGAGATTATAAAAAATAAAGTTTTCATCAGTATTATAAACATTTTCATTTCTAATTATTCATGAGAAATTAATAAATGTGAATGAAAATAATAAGCTTTACATTTAGAAGAGCGGAACATATATATATATATATATAGGCATTACTACATATTTTTCTCATAAATCCTCATTAAACTACACAAAGGGCATAGTATGCATGATTAGTATAATATTATAGGGTTTCAAGAGAGACTGCAATTAAAAAGCAGAGAACTGGTGACCCCTAAAGAATGCAGAGGAAGCCCTCTCTACCCCACTTCCACCATATCCTCCTCAATATATTTACATACATTGCCATTCTACAGACATACATATATATATAAATATATCTATA